AACCTCAAAGCCTCTGACCTCGAAACTTCCTAACCACTTCAGCGTCTGCCCCCATCCCCTTGCAGTCTCCTCTATCCTCGCTGTGCACCCCGCGCCCTACTCTCCCCGAGGTGCTCCCTCTCGTCCTTCTCCCGCTCGGGTGCCCTCGTGGCGCCAACCAGGCAGAGCAGGAGGAGGAGGAAGAGGAGTTGGAGGAGGAGGGTAAGGAGGAGAGGGAGCAACAGAAAGATGCCCCACTGATGACGATGACGATGATAATGATGACGATGACGATGCTGCTGCTACTGATGATGATGCTGCTGGTGATGATAATATGATGATGCTGCTAATGATGATGATGATGATGATGATGATGATGATGATGATGATGCTGCGGATGATGAAGATGATGATGATGTTGATGATGACGATTACGATAACGATGATGAATATGATGCTATTGTTACCATCAGCTATCATGTATTGCCACTTTTTATTTTTAATATCGTTGTTTTTTATTAGTGATGTTCTGATTATGGTTATTACTACCCTGCTACTAGTATTTATGATGGTGGTGGTGATGATGACGATTATGATGCTGAGGATGATGATGCTGATGCTGATGATGACGACGACGATGACCATGATGATGAAGATGATCATGAGATGACTATGATGATACTTATGATGGTGCTGCTGATGGTAATGAGGACGACAACGACGATGACGAGGGGGATGATGATGCTGATGATGGTAATGATGGAGGAGGAGGAGAGGAAGCAACTCACGGATCATTATGGCTCCACTGACGACGGTGATTGATGATGATGGTGACGACGCTGATGATGATGATAATGATGATGATGTTGATGACGACGATGACGATGGCGATGACGATGACGATGATGATGATGTTGCTAAATATGATGATGATGATGATGATGATGATGATGATGATGATGATGATGATGATGATGATGATGATGATGATGATGATGATGATGTATGATGATGATGATGATGATGATGATGATGTATGATGATGATGATGATGATGATGATGATGATGATGATGATGATGATGATGATGATGATGATGATGATGATGATGATGATGATGATGATGATGATGATGGAGATGGTGATGGTGATGGTGATGGTGCTGGTGATGATGATGATGATCGTGATCATGATCAGGATTCTGTGGTTGGAAGAATAAAGATGAAGAGTATGATGTGGACGGACGGATGACGACGCCGGACGACGACGACGACGACCCCCGACGACGACGATGATGATGATGATGATGATGATGAGGATGATGATGATGATGTGAATGATGATGATGATGATGATGATGATGATGGTGATATGAGATGAGGAGGAGGGAGGAGGAGGAGGAGGAGGAGGAGGATGATGCTGATGAGGATGCTGATGATGCTGCTGCTGATGATGATGACAAGGAGGAGGAGGAGGAGGAGGAGGAGGAGGATGAGGAGGAGGAGGGGGAGGATGGGGTTGAGGAAGCGGAGGAGGCGAAGGAGGAGGAGGCCGATGCCGAGGCCGTCCTGGTGCCTTCGTCGAAGAAGAACAAAACGGCGCGCTAGGGGCGGCGCCGGAGGCTCCGCCAGGAGGGTCCAGCGCCAATGCAAGAAAGCCCGTGCGGACCTCCCACATAAGACAATCGAGTGCACCGCGTGCTCAAATAGTTTTTTCCTTTGGGTGGACACCTCGGACGCCCTCCCCCCCTCTGGTGCAGTCTAGAGGCCACCTGCGGTGTGCCGTCTCGAGGGCCACTCGGAGGTGTTTTCGGGCATCTAGGGACACCTTTGGAGACCCCAGGGGAGCACCCTCGAGGAGGCATCTTGGAGTCACTCCGAGCCGCCTCGGTGGGCAGTCGAATGGCCGTCGTGCCGTCGATTGACGATTTGTGCCGATTCTGGGGGGGCGTCCAGAAGGCTGGATGTTGGTGAGCTGTGCCGGTGGAGTGTGCCTTCCAGGCCCTGGGGTCGCGCGTTCAGGAGCAGCTCAAGGTATTCTGATCACCTCGCGGCCAGCACTAGCAGCTTCTGGCGCGTTTCTGGATTCAATTTTCTCGCCCCTGCTCTTCCTCTTCCTGGCTCTTCCTCCGCAGCCGTTTTGGCTCAAGCTTCCGCCACGACACTCGGCGCATCGGATTTTTTCCCTCGCGTCCCCCGCAGGCTTGCTCTTGGCAATGGCGGCCCCTCGCTCCGCCATCCTGACCGCGGCCGTCGTGCTTGCCTGCACCAGCCTGATGGCCGCTTTCGTGCCCTCGCCGGTCGCGTCGCGCCCGACAGCGCAGTCGCTGCCGACGGCGGCGCTCAGCGCGGTGGCGCTCGCGGCGCCCACCGCCGCCCACGCGGAGGGCTCGAGCGTGTGGATCCCGGCCCTGTCCGCCGTCGGCGCCGGCTTCGCCATCGGGCTGGCCGCCATCGGGTCCGGAGTGGGCCAGGGCATCGCCTCCGGCCGCTGCATCGACGGCATCAGCCGCCAGCCGGAGGCTCTCGGCCAGCGTGTTCCCGTTGCGTTTTTTGTTTGTCCTGCTTCCTCTCTCTCACTCTCTATCTCTCTCTCTCTCACTGCCTTTCTCTCTCGCTCTCTCTTTCTCTCTTTCTCTCGTTCCTCACTCGCTTCTCAAGTACTATGTGTGAATGTATTTGAGCTGGCTGGGGGTGTGAGGTTGCCCAGCATTGGTCCTGGTCAGCAGAAAAGGGGGAGAAAGGGGCTCCCTCTTTGCCACGTCTGGACGCGGCTTGCACAACTGGCCAGCGAATCTGGCATCCTGCTGTATCCTAAAGAGTTTCAGGTGGCCGACGATCTGCGCGGACTTCTCCTACTGGCCCTCGCTTCATGGCAGTCGCTGACGACTACGGGCTCGTCATTGCGCTGGTGCTGCCTCTTTGCCAAACCGATCATCAAGTAGGCGGGGGGCGGCACACGTGCGAGGAGGAAGGCTGCTATGAGGGCCGCTGTGAGGGAAGGGCCATTTGAAAAGAGAGACCTCGGTTCCTCCTGGTCAGACCTCGGTCCTCCTGCGAGTCTCGGCGGGGAACGCTTCGAGGTGCGAGGTGCGAGGGCGAGTGTCCGGGCGTTTTCGTCGGTTCCCGTCGGTTTTCCAGCTCGGGATGGCTCTCCAGCAGCTGCGCCTCGTCGAGGCTTTCTGGGTCGCCCGGATGTCCCGAAGGGCCGCATGGGGCCCCGAGTTAAGTATTGACCTGAAAGCCAGGGGGCAACGTGAGAGGGGACAGTCTCGGGGGGAACGCCTTGACGCCCAATCGCCCATTCATCGCCGATAGCGGCCCGATCGCCCACCCCGCCCATGAACGAACGTGCGGTCTCGCTATCCCGGGGCCTATCGCCGATCTCTCTGCGATGCATCGCCGAGTCCAGCTCGATGTTCCCCCTGTGCCGGTCTCCTGGTGCATTTCTGTTCATAGCTCTGGCCTCTGGCGGCCGTTCGGGGCGAAACGGGCACCCTCCAGGACGCTCTCGGCGAGGCGCAGCTGTTGGAAGGTACCCCGAGGCTGGACGCCCGCCGAGAACCGACGAATACGCCCCCAAAAACCTCAGAGCATCTGACCTCGAAACTTCCTAACCACCTCAGCGTCCGGCCCCTGAGCCAGCGCCCCCTGAGGCTCCCCCCATCTCCCTTGCAGTCTCCTCCATCCTCGCTGTGCACCCCGCGCCCTCCTCTCCCCGAGGTGCTCCCCCTCGTCCTTCTCCCGCTCGGGTGCCCTCGTGGCGCCAACCAGGCAGAGGAGGAGGAGGCGGAGGAGGAGGGGCGCCAGGCACGATACAGGCCTGAGCTGTTTGAGGAGCGTTGTTTCCAACGAAGCAGCGAATTGTATCTTTTTGGTATTCCGCCACGCTGGAAGTTTATGCGTTTTCGACTCCAAATATGTTTCCCATTCCACTCGATTGAATCCTTGTGTATTCCACCACAAACGGAAGGTCTGTGTAATGCGCCGACTCCTTTGACGGCTCCTTCTGCCGAGTTCGGAATATACAAGAATTTCTGTGCGTCGTAATGCAAAAGGAGCCCGTTGTGGCGGAATGCAGAAGGATTCCCTGTGTGGCAGAATGCAAAAGCATTCCTCTTGTGGCGACATACCAAAATAATCCTTCTGTGGAGGATTACAGAAAGATTCGTTTTGTGGTGTAATACAACAAGGAATTTTCTGGTGGATTGCAAAAAGTTTTTTTGTGTGGCGGAATGCAGAATTAATCCTTGTGTGGACGAGTACAAAAGGGCTATGTGGACTCCCTCTGTGGCAGAAAAAAGATTCCGTTGTGTGGCAGATACACAGGAAATCTTGTTGTGGTGGATTACTGCGGGATTTCTTGTGTGGCAGAATACAATAGGCCTGATGTGGTTGATTACCACAGGATTCTGTCTGTGGCGGAATGCAAGGGGAATCCTTTTGTGGCCGAATACAGAAGGGTTTCCTCGCGGCGGATTTCCAAAAGGATTCCCTCTGTGACAGGATATAGTAGGATTCCACTTGTGCCTTTTGTGGCGGAGACCTAGAAGATATCTGTTGTGGTGGATTATCCAGGAATTCTTTTTGTGGCAAAATGCAAGAGGAATCCTTTTGTGGTTGATTACCGAGGGATTCCTTACGTGGTGGACTGCAAAGGTTTTTTTTTTTCTGGCCGGGTACAACCAATCCCCTTGTGGCGGAATGCAAACATAATCTTTTTGCGACAGAACGCAAACAAGGATTCCTTTGTTAGTGGATTGCAGAAGTATTCTTTCTGTGGCGGAATACATTCGTTTCAAGGCGGAATTCATTCTGATTTTTTCCCAACCCTCCCTGGTTGGGTATTCGTTTTGAATAGAGCCGTGTGGTCTCCACTCCTTCCTTCCTCCTCCTCCTCCTCCCTCCCTGCCTCTTCCTGTCTTGCCTGCGGGGGGCTGCGATCTGTGAAACTGTCGCCATTTTCGAGGCCTGCTGGGGGGCCCAGCACAGTGAGGGCCACGCGCGGGATTCAAATTAGACCTTCGCCATCCCTGGGGGGGCTGCGATCTGTGAAAACTGTCGCGCCCCAATTTTTCGAGGCCGCTGGGGGGCCCAGCACAGTGAGGGCCACGCGCGGATTCAAATTAGACCTCGCCATCCCTGGGGGGCTGCGATCTTGTGAAACTGTCGCCATTTTCGAGGCCTGCTGGGGGGCCCAGCACAGTGAGGGCCACGCGCAGATTCAAATTAGACCTCGCCATCCTTGGGGGGGCTGCGATCTGTGAAACTGTCGCCATTTTCGAGGCCTTGCTGGGGGGCCCAAGCAACAGTGAGGGCGACGCGCGGATTCAAATGAGACCTCGCCATCCCTGGGGGGCTGCGATCTGTGAAACTGTCGCCATTTTCGAGGCCTGCTGGGGGGCCCAGCACAGCGAGGGCCACGAGCGGATTCAAATTAGACCTCGCCATCTCTTGGGGGGGCTGCGATCTGTGAAACTGTCGCCATTTTCGAGGCCTGCTGGGGGGGCCAGCACAGTGAGGGCGACGCGCGGATTCAAATTAGACCTCGCCATCCCTGGGGGGCTGCGATCTGTGAAACTTCCGCCAGTTTCGAGGCCTGCTGGGAGGCCCAGCACAGTGAGGGCGACGGGCGGATTCAACTTAGACCTCGCCATCTCTGGGGGGGCTGCGATCTGTGAAACTGTCGCCACTTTCGAGGCCTGCTGGGGGGGCCCAGCACAGTGAGGGCGACGGGCGGACCCAAATTAGACCTCGCCATCCCTGGGGGACTGCGATCTGTGAAACTGTCGCCACTTTCGAGGCCTGCTGGGGGGCCCAGCACAGTGACGCCACGCGCGGACCCAAATTAGACCTAGCCATCCCTTGGGGGTTGCGATCTGTGAAACTGTCTTCACTTTCGAGGCCTGCTGGGGGGCCCAGCACAGTGACGCCACGGGCGGACCCAAATTAGACCTCGCCATCCCTGGGGGGCTGCGATCTGTGAAACTGTCGCCACTTTCGAGGCCTGCTGGGGGGCCCAGCACAGTGACGCCACGGGCGGAGTCAAATTAGACCTCGCCATCCCTGGGGGGCTGCGATCTGTGAAACTGTCGCCACTTTCGAGGCCTGCTGGGGGGCCCAGCACAGTGGGTGCCACGGCGGATTCAAATTAGACCTCGCCATCCCTGGGGGGCTGCGATCTGTGAAACTGTCGCCACTTTCGAGGCCTGCTGGGGGGCCCAGCACAGTGACGCCACGCGCGGACCCAAATTAGACCTCGCCATCCCTGGGGGGCTGCGATCTGTGAAACTGTCGCCACTTTCGAGGCCTGCTGGGGGGCCCAGAACAGTGACGCCACGCGCGGACCCAAATTAGACCTCGCCATCCCTGGAGGGCTGCGATCTGTGAAACTGTCGCCGCTTTCGAGGCCCGCTGGGGGGCCCAGCACAGTGACGCCACGCGCGGGCCCAAATTAGACCTCGCCATCCCTGGGGGGCTGCGATCTGTGAAACTGTCGCCACTTTCGAGGCCTGCTGGGGGGGCCAGCGCAGTGACGCCACGGGCGGATTCAAATTAGACTCCGCCATCCCTGGAGGGCTGCGATCTGTGAAACTGTCGCCACTTTCGAGGCCTGCTGGGGGGCCCATCACAGTGACGCCACGCGCGGATTCAAATTAGACCTCGCCATCCCTGGGGGGCTGCGATCTGTGAATCTGTCACCACTTTCGAGGCCTGCTGGGGGGCCCAGCACAGTGACGCCACGGGCGGACCCAATTTAGACCTCGCCATCCCTGGGGTGCTGCGATCTGAGATCCCCGCTTTCGAAGTGGCTAGGGTTCCTCAGGGATTGTAACTAATCAGCTTTATCTAGTCCTTCTCCTGTAGCCAGTGTCCTGCGAATCTCCCGAATTCCGTCTGCAGACATATGTAACCCTCGCTCCGTCATCGCCCCCCTTATAAAGTGTCCTAAACTATTTGCGCCCCGCGTTTGCGCAGGGGTTGGGTACGTCGCCAGGGTAATTGGTGAGCGAAAAGCGCGGACAAAAAGCCAACCATCCCAAACATGAACATATAAAACTATCGATACACATATGATTTCGGGCAAATCTCCTTGGGCCATCGCCACAATTGTGCCGACATTTTTTCCCACCCCTCCTTGGTTGGGTGTTCGTTGTGAATAGAGCACTGTTGTCGCGTCCCTCCTCCTCCTCCCGCCTCCCGCCTCCTCTCGCCTCCTGCCCTCTCTTCGCCGTCGCTGGGGGGCTGCGATCTGCGAAACTCTTGCCACTTTCGAGGGCTGCTGGTGGGTCCAGCGGAGTGAGGCACCGCGGGGATCTGAGGTAGACCTCGCCGTCCCTGGGGGGCTGCGATCTGCGAAACTCTCGCCACTGTCGAGGGCTGCTGGTGGGTCCTGCAGGCTGAGGCACCGCGGGGATCTGAGGTAGACCTCGCCGTCCCTGGGGGGCTGCGATCTGCGAAACTGTCGCCACTTTCGAGGGCTGCTGGTGGGTCCTGCGCACTGAGGCACCGCGGGGACCTG